CAAGGATAGGATATTTTTCTGATTTCTTCAACTATTGTACTTTCTCCTAGATATAATAGTTTTCTTAGATCAAGTTGTTCTGTGTTTATGGCACTTGACGATATTCCCCCTCCAGGCCTTGGGTGGTCGTACCCTTCGTAGGCGATATCCCTATCTAAATAGTCTCTTAGAGTTGTGGGGTCCTCTAGGCGATTCCGCTTCAGACTTAAGTATTTTCCCGCGTCTGAAACAAGTCACTAAACCTAAGTTGCACTTACCACTTTTCGTATAACACAGGGTTTACTGTTGGTACTATTTATGATTACACAGGACATATTAAGTTAGACTTTTTTACCACTTAGGAGGAATACTGTTAAAGTAAGTGGAAAGAAGGGGTTAGTTTGTTCTTACGTTGTGCTTTTTCAAAATATCTCCTACCCAGTAAGAGGAATCTGTTTTTAATGTATATAAATTAGTTCATATATGGAGCTCTCTGAATGAGGAGAATCTGTCTTTAATCTAAATTTCATTGCTATTTGAAGCTCTCTGAATAAGAGGAATCTGTCTTTAATATATATAAATTAGTTGATATATGGTGCTCTTTGAATGAGAGTGATCTGTCTTTAATGTATGTAAATTAGTTGATCTAAGGATTTCTTTGTGTATGTGTAACTAACTAGTTTGGTTGTTATACTTATTGGTGTTTTGTATTATTTGTAGTTTTATGTACTTATTGTATGATATTAAGTACTGGTGGGCATCCATATTGTATAGTTGAACGTACTGGTGAGTTATATGCTGATAGTTTTGTTTTGACTTTTAGTTTATTTAGAGATTTCAAGCTATTTAACTTTGACTGTGATGATTTGATATGTTGGTTCCTGGTTAATCTAGTGTTATATATCAACTAAACAGCCAAATTCCTGGGCTTTTATTTCTATGTCATATATTTTCGTGTGGGCTTAGTTTACCTTTCTCATTCCTTCACGTATTTTTCTGTAGAAGATAATGAAATGGGTATTATTTGTAATGAGGATTATCCTCCATTTGGAGCACCATATGATTTAGCTGATGTTGTATAAGTTTAGCTGCTTGTGCCTGACGTTTGGGGGAAGACCATAATGCTATATCGTCAGCATACTTGGAGGCTTTTGTGTATATGTTTCATCTTCAGATGGTAGATTTATATTATTGACGTGTAGCATGTAAAGAGCTTGTGTCAAAGCCTTGAGGCATTCCTGGAGACGAGCAGGAAAGTTCGGACGTGTTATTTTAAGTCTTATTGTTCGGTTATTCAAGAAGTCTCGAATATATCGTAAATATGTTGTTGGTATTATGGATTTTGCCAATTTGTACCTAATCCCGTCATACTAGACTGAGTCAAAGGTTTTATGAACATCGAGGAAGGCAGCTGCAGTGCAATAATTGTTATTTATGTCCTTGACTATTGTTGCTATGAATCAGGTTTTCTGAAACTGTTTTGAAGCTTTGACAATAAATGATTATAGTTAATTAGATTAAGTAGTCTTTTGGTGATGATTCTTTCGAGAAGTTTTCCTGTTGTATTGGGTAAGCCTACTGGTTTATAGTGTACTGAGTATTGTGGTGCATTGTCGGGTTTGGATATCATAACCACTAAAACTGTAGTGGTATGTGTGCAGATCGTAGGATTAGGGTAAAAATCCTGGCTAGATCCTTACTTAGTTTTATTGATCCTTGTTAAGGCATATATTTGGAATATTACCTTTACCAGGAGAGTTGTTTTTTAGTGTTATGTCGTGTGTTTTAAATCCTTTAGGATCGGAGGTTAATTTTTTTTTCTGAATGCACCAAACTACCTACACAGTACACATCTCCTTGCAGATGACCAATCAGAAAAGGGCACCGGGATATAAAAATATAACATCTTGAGCACTGTCTTGGTAGAATTTTTTGTGCCCGTCCAGCGACAATGGATTTTCTCAGCACTTCCCCCATATCCTAATCTGTGGCATTGAATTTATATATCTCAGCCTAGATGTTGAATTTACAGATTCGTGCCATCCTGAAGAACTGTTTGAGGTTACAGTCTACTCTGAGTAAAGTAGACCATTTTGAATCTAGACAACTTTTTTCTGTTTCCCTTGGAGACGATGTCTGAACTGAGACAAAATAAAGTTTTGTATTCTTCTACTTCATGTAGTAATTCTCAAATCTTATAAACCAAAGCGGGACAAAGAGGAATTGTTTGGTCCCTGAGCACCTCTGGTTTATTCAAACCTAAATACCTACGATGTGTGTGTGTGTGTCCCCCAAACACAATCAAGAAAGACAAAAATGCAACTTATTCAAAAAACAACGGAAAAGTACTTTGACCGGTCGAAATTTTGCACATGATCTCAACCGGATTTAGTATTCCAAAATTAGAACTTAGAAAAGTAAAAACAAAAATATATATAAGAAATATTCACTACAGAACCGTAAAATATGTAGTAGTTGCCTACTATGCTGTTTTCAAAAAATGGTGTATTAATTATTACGAGATTAATAATGTACTAAAGCATATAAAAATGGAGAAGCTCGACTCGCAATCTGAGGGTCGAAGGTTCGAATCCCCATCCCACCAAACATGTTCGCCCTTTCAGCCGTGGGTGCGTTATAATGTAACAGTCAATCCCACTATTCGTTGGTAAAAGAGTAGCCCAAGAGTTGGCAGTGGGTGGTGACGACTAGCTGCCTTCCCTCTAGTCTTACACTGCTAAATTAGGGACGGCTAACGCAGATAGCCCTCGTGTAGCTTTGCGCGAAATTCAAAACAAACAAACAAACAATTATGAAATATCTTGGAGGTTCGGTTTATAGAGCAGTTGTTATTGTTTCATCAAACGGGGAATTTTTCGACTTAAAGAAAATTGATATCATTTTTATAACCTAACCCTAGACAGCTTCTCGAAGACTGTTAGTTTTATTTAAATTATTATCAGAAATGATCTTTTAATTTCAATTCATGGAGATCAAAATAGGTTTTTAAAAGAAAGATTTATAGCTGAAAAAAACTAGGCAAATATATGACAAAGATGAGTATTATTACTTATTGATTTCAAGAAGTCATTTGAGGTTTCTTAATGTTTTATAAACTAGATTAAAATTAAGATCAACATTTCTCAAATTGAGGTTCGCGAGTTGTGTCCGAAATTTCATAAAAATATTTAAAGAAATAAGATTTATTTGAATTTAATTTTGGAATACAGCTTTTCATGTACACGAAATCTTTTTTTAAACAAAAATATCGATTGGTTGGGGTCCCCCCCCCAAAAAAATTCTATATTAAAAGAAGCGTTGATTTTTATATATTAAAGTATTTATAGTAAATTTCCCTTACTTGAAACACGTTTTGATTCAAGTTTACAAAATCTAAGTGAGAAAACAACAACATGCATTTGGGTAAAGTCGGTAAAATAAAGCAGTACTGTTAAAATGGGAAAATAAAAATGATAAATTTGTTTAAATGAATTAATCGTGCTCCCAAGTCTTTAAAAGACGGGTAAAATATTTTATACATTTGCGCCTCCAATTGACACAGCGGTATGTCTGCGGGCTTACAATGCTAGAAACCGGGTTTCGATACCCGTGATGGGCAGAGCACGGATAGCCCATTGTATAGCTTTGTGCTTAACTTCAAGCAAATTATAAATTTGCTTTGAACAATGCTTTCGACGTAATGTCAAGATAAAGAAACATGACGACAGTCTATGTTCCTGCTTATTGTAAGATCATACAAATTTACATATTTGTTAACAGAAAGACTTAATATGTTAATACTTTTAAAGGAAAGAGGTTATAACTTATACCTTGTTTGATTGTTGAATTTTTGCGCATTTATTTTCGTCCCTAGTTTTAAATTGATAGATTAGAGCGATGGAAGCCTAGTTAACACCACCCAACGCCAACTCTTTACCAACGAATCGTTGGATTGACCGTCACATTATAACGTCCCCACGACTGAAAAGGCGAGCACGTTTGGCGAAGGGTTTCGATCCTACGACGCGCAAATGGTTATAACCACAAGGTTATAGTTTGTGAGTTAGGTTGTATTGCGCGAAGCAATTAAGACCACTTGCGCCGTTCAAAACGAAAAAAATAAAAATTAAAACAAGAATACTTTTTATACGCCTTAGCCTCCACCCAGATGTGACGTATGAAGTAAAAAACTTTTGCAGTAACTTCACATTCCAACTATAGATAAATATGGATCATCATCTTTATATGGTTTGTCTTCAGAGGTTTCGCCAGTAATGGCCATGAAATGTCGGGATATAAAAATAAAATTTCAGGTATTGGAAAACAAGTGACCTCTACAATTTTGAAGCGCCTCCTACAGTGACTCAGCAGCAAATCCGAAGACCTATAACGCTAAAATCAGGATTTCGATACCCGTGGTGGGCTCAACACAGCAGAGATAGACGATTGTGTAGCTTTGTGCTTAAGAACAAACAGTTTTGGAACACAGATATTTCAATGTAATGTCATAAATAGTTTTAGATTATTTCTTATTTTTAATTTTAAAATATTCTCTCGATCTGTATCCATAAATTATTAGTTGCAAACATTCCTGCTCTTCTGGTGTAATTAATATTCCGATATTAATCGTTCTGATAACTAGGTGAATATTTTCAGATTTCTAACTTTTAAAACCCACATTTCTTGAAAATATTACAATTACTCTTTAAACGGTTATTTCCAACAATCCAACTATAACTCATTTTCAGGCCTTTAGGTGTATTTACTTCCAGTCTTCTAGTTTGTTTTCAGCTTAATTCAAAGTAAATCGACACTTTTCTTAGTGTACTATTAAAAATATCGAAAAATGTAATAGATAAGTGTAATTTTTCTAGCCTCCACCCAGATGTGACGCATGAAGTAAAAGAAACTTTTGCAGTAACAAATGCTGACTCTTGCTTTCCATCTGAAGAACACGCTCCAGGATTGAGACAGGCATGTCTCGAATTTCTTCCAGCGATTCTGACTTTGACTAACCGTTTCCTAAAAATTCTAGCAATAACATTAGGTGAGTTAGATTATTCACTTCTTTATCTTTGTGAGACATGCAATAAGTTTGTTATTGTCTGTTTTATATACACTTTAAATTGACTTAAACAGTTTCTGTTAATAGGCTGACGTAGTCTTGCAGACATTCCACGAGGCCACGTGGTTGAGGTCAACCAATATTTACTATTATGGAATACTTATAGCTGCAAGTCTGTAGTATGACTTAAACTAACCATACAGATATTAAACCCACGAAATTTAACTGTGGGAACTTGCCTATTCTCTTGAAAGTAATGGCAAAACTCGGTTCATCTTCCCTTGATTTTGAGTCCCCCCCCCCCCTGGAAATATTTCTGCGGTCGCCCATGGCAACAAACTATATTAAAAGACTGGAACAAAAAGTTTAGTAAATTTTATCGTTTACGTCGTGATTTCTTAACGTAATACACGGTCCTGTATTTGTACATTTCTAAATACAGATGTAGAAGAAGACTTTTTCTTGAAACGTCACAAAAACCGACAAAATGAAAAAGAGGGATTGCTCAAACTGATGTATTATCCTCCTGTGGAAGAAGATGTCAGAGATCCTCATGTTGTTCGTTTTGGAGAGCATACAGATTTTGGAACCATAACGTTCTTGTTCCAGGACAATTCAGGAGGAATGGAGGTGAGACAACAAATATACATTTTTTATAGATTCTATATTTACTTTTTCGTTTATATTGAAGTTGATTAAATATATGGAATTAAACAGCTTAATTCACAAGACAGAGGTCGCTGTATAACAGAATTCAAGGATTGGGTCAGTTACTTTAAACAACTCAAACGGTACTACATGAACAGAGTGTGAACGTTGATTTTTCTTTTGTATCATAGAAACAAACATTTCTTAGGGTCAGGTGGTAAAGAGTAGACAAAAACACTTAACATTATTATATATTTGTAATGTATTGATTGTTAAACACGGGTAACGTACTTATACTTGAAATATATTACCCGAAAAGGCTTAGAGTTTATACCCTGGTTTTATTTGTTTATCTTTTATAAGCCAAGCTGTTTGATTTTGGCTCTATTACCTGAATAGTTGTGTATGTTTACATACATAACAAATAACACCGCAAATTAGAAACAGTAAGCAATTATCTGACGAAATCTGTAGTTGTTAGAGAAGAAATTAGACTTGCAAGTAAATAGCTTAATATTTCATAATACCATAAAATCTTTTAGCAAAGTATTCCGAAGTTTTTATTGGTGTCGTTGGGCTCCTACTATGGAGCGGCTGCACTAAGACGTCATTGTCGGGAGTAACGAAATAGACGAAGGAACTTCTTTCTCGTCGTCTTTGGGCCTCATCGTTCGGAACAAGCAGTCGATGAAACTGTAAAATGTGACATGGAATTTGTGATACTGACTAGTTACATTCCCTCTAGTTTGTCACTTAAATTAGGGACGGCTAGTGGAGATAGCCCTCGAGTAAATTTAGTTGAAATTCAACAAACAGTTTTGTATTATATACGCATTTCTTTAAATCCAAAATGACATAATTGTTAGTTGTCAGGTTGGTGGGTGAAGAACACGTAACACAGATCTATGACGACACAGAGAAACAAAACTTAGTCTTTGATATATTTGGTTTGAATTTCGCACAACGCTACACGAGGGCTATCTGCGCTAGCCTTCCCTAATTTAGCAGTGAAAGACTAGTGAGAAGGCCGCTAGTCATCACCAACCACCGCCAACTCTTGTGCTACCATTTTATCAATGACCGTCACATTATAATTCATACTTGGTGGGACGGGGATTCAAACATTGATTATTAGTTTTATTTAAACGTTAACTATCATCTATACTGTTAGTATAATAGCTGAGACGTTCTTTTTTTTTGTAAAATAAATCCTGGAAATATAAGAATAATAAATTCTAGATAAGAATTTCCAAAAGACATTTGTAAGTCACACTAGGAAGAAAACACATTTTATTGGTGCCCTATCCAGACGTTGTTTATTTTGGTGTTTGATATTTACAAAACTTACCAAACATAAACTATTAACATCATTTACTCACTGTTGCTGGATATAATCCATTACTCCAAACCGATAACAAGTCTCCAACAAGAACCAGAACAGTATCCTTTATTGGGATGGCGTGGATCCATTCTCCTGACTTAGTCTTCACCTAGAAAATAACAAGAGTGTTAAACATATCACGACAGTAAACTCTGACTTTTAGGAAACTTAATATTCAACTCACGAGTAACTATAACTGTGGATAAAATATAAAAAAACAGGTCTAGAATCACAGCAGGAGATATTATTTCGTTTGTTTGAATTGTATGAATTATCTGCGCTGTGACCACCCAAGGGATAGAGGTCCGAATTCCAGCGTTAAAAGCCCACAAACCTACCGCTGATCCATCGGAGGGCCACAGCAGAAGATAATAAATAATTTGTTATAAGTGTCCATTATTGTTAGGTGCATCATCTCCCCCGACTTTTATATTTATAGATAACCTTATAATGATTTCACCTGGTGAGTTAGCAAGACAAAATAATTAACGACACTGTGGAAAAAGTAAAATACATTTTATTAAGATAAGTAACCTGATGATTTAGGTCCATACAGCAGTACTGAAACACAGTCTATCACATCCCTATTTGAAACCCTCATTTGTTTAAAAAAAGAAAGAAAGAAAAATAATGACGATAAGAGTAGACATGGAAACCTAAACCCGCATCTTTCACCGCATGCAGTCAAGTTGTTGGAAGTTAGTTGCTGTCAGTGAAACATAATTATATTAAAACAGTTTCCTACAACCAGACCCATGAAGGTACGAAGAAGTTTCTTATTTGTAAACTAGTACATACATGTTTGAATGAGTTTATAGTTACATTTCTGTTCCCACATTTGTTTTTCACATAGACGAAAGAGATGTGGGGTCAAAGGGCCATTGCTCAGCAATCTTTTAAAGCAGTGTCAGAACCCGACTTTAATAACTTGAGTTCGTCTCAGATATGTGCTTCTAAAATAACATATAAGAACGGCGGAGAAAATTAACAAAGTGCTGGTCACACACAAAAGTAAGGAAGACATCATATTAG